AAACAGTCGGTATATACGTGGTTACGGGTGCCCGACGATCGGCTTTTGTTTTATTCGAATCGAAACGCGGGCCAGGAACGCGCGTTTCCTTTGACGGTTTACTATAGCGATATTGTGTGCGCAGCACGACAATGTGTCGTGTTATAACGCGTGATGCCACCCTCGTGTTTATTCGGTGTCAACACGTTGGGCTATAGGGTAGACGGGTGTACTTAACTCATGCGTTATAACAAAATAATGTACACCTTCGACTGTACGATGTTATGCGCAGCGCCCCTGTGCGTGTGCACGACATCCGACGTGGCTGCGGTCGTGTCACACACAATTAATGTCTATTGTGACGGCCATGTGTCTGTCCGCGCGTCAATGGCCTACGTATGGGGTGTACGGGATGTATGGGCGAAGGGAGATTTAAGGGGACGAGTGCCCCCTTCAGTATTAGGCTCGGCGAACCTTAGAGTAAAAGTGTTACGAATGACAACTCTGATCGAGCTTCGTATATATTTATATGTTTTAACGAATTGATACCGGTTATTCGTCGAACGACGGTTTAATCGGACGAATTTAGGGTTTTAAATTAAATTTATGCGAATAGTTGATTATTACAGTTGTACTTTACGAAATCAAAAATGTATTATTAATATCTTACCAAAATAATTTAATGTTATTATCAATGTACCAAAAGGTTATCAATAACTGTAAAAAGGTCGACCACATTGGACATATGTAGATAAATCCTACAACTATTGGACATAGGACTGAAAATACTAATATCACTTGAAAACTATTTTGATTTCATAACAAAATAATTTATCAAAAAATATGAATAAGTTTTTGTTCAATATTCGAATAGATACCGTTGGTGAAAAATCGTGACGCTCTGCTATAACGTATCTATAAAATACATTCATCTGTATATACATATATTTTTAATATAACGCACCACCCGAAAATTTCCTAAGAAAACCGACTGTATTGTTCACGGAGGTGATAATATCAATAAACGTAGGTACCGATTGAAAATAAAAAAAACCTACGTTTGCTGCAGTTACGAATGACCGGAAAAAGAACCAACGGTTACGCAATTAATTGGATTTTCCAACTGGGACGGGTTTCCACTAGGAAAATTAAGTCTGCCACTTTCTCTTGAGGTTTTTTTCTCGTTCATTTCCTTCTTGTGTATATACACTTTTATTACACACACCTTTTTTCCGATCAATACTAGCAGTGTTCTTTTGCGGTTTTCCTCGATATTTTTTCTTCCCTTCTCAATACGCAAATACATAACGTGATTTTTCATTTACGATAAAACCATTATGATAAAATATTATAAAATTACTTAAATGAACGTCGTCATCTACACTTTATCATAAATGCACGAAATCAAGAAATCCAATCGTGTTATAAGTCACCAATATTAGTATTATAACCCGTTCATTAATTTAACCATGTATATGTATTTATAAAAAATAAACAATACGAGTATTACTATAATATAGAATAATGAATATAGATGATAGTCGGTATTATAAATTATTTTATTTTTCGGTTCTTAGGATTATATTTAATACTGTAATTCAAAATATAATTTTCATTTGAATTTTTACTTGCCAAGTTGTATGACACGAAAAATCTTAGATAAAAAAAAAGTTGAAAACAAAAATACATTTAGATAAATTATATTAATATCATTTGTTTTAAAAGAGGTAATATCTTAATAATTGTTGTGTGTCTAACCTAACCCGTGTACAAATTATATTCTATACTATTGATATAAGTTTAATGATGTACTTAAAAATCATATAACTAAATTAATTTTTAAACAGCAATGGTTTACAGCCTATTGTTAAACTTAAAATTAATTTATTACTAATGTTTAACGATTTTTATTAGTTTGTACAAAAGTATTATCGTTAAAATGTTAATCATATACAAAAACAGTAGGATTATTTATTTCAATATCCAATCAAAGTGTCAAAGGATATATAAATAAACACACTCCTACTGAATATTTTACGTTATCTATTCGTTTTATGACAAACTTTACCCTAAGAATTATCGCTAGAAATAAATCAATCGAACCGTGTGCAGTGCAAGTACTGAAACAACATTTGATCAGTTCCCTTTACATTGTGGTCTTCGGACGAAACGTTATGCACTGCGGTTTTCGCGTCGTTACGTCGTGCAAATTTTCCGTTTATCGTTTTCATGGTCTAACGACTGAACGTTGTGCGCAAAGCCGCTACCAGCAGTATCCACGAAACTTTGTAGTCGCAGCGCGGCCGTTTATCTTCCGGGATACTGCTGCTCTTTTAGACAACCCTTTCACGGTAACGGATGTCGCACCCACTTTCGATATCGTACGACCTACGCGAGCGTCCGGTGGCATTGCGGGTGCAATTGACGACGACAGGATGACGATGACGACAGGACGACACCCGGGTGGCCGCGGTAACCAGTAATTACTATCGTTTTGTGCCGTGTCCTTGATGATCGGCTGAGTCGAGCCTGCGCTGCACGTCCGCAACAGCTGCGGTAACGCCGTGAAACCGTGTGTACCGGTGCGCGCGCGTGGTTTTTCGCGTTCGGACGGATTTCACGTTAGGTTAGATCCGACGTGTCCTATGAAAATGTCCTGACGAAGATTACGTGTCCGGCGTGTCACAAACGTCCCAGGGGGAAGAACTGGGGCGGCCCGCGCCCGAACCGTAATTAAGCTCGCCGAACGCGACGTTGTTGATGGTTAATGTTCATCGTTTTGCGCGCCATCGAAGCTTTACGTTTCGACCAACATACTTTCACGAATCGATATAAAGTTGTCGTCGTTTTTTCGTGTCAACAGAACCAGACTACAGAGCGACCATCGAGATCGGTACTACGGTTGGATGAGTTTTACCCAAGTCGTTATAGATTGATTCGAGTCTATTGCTGTTAAACTTATCCAAATGAGCTGTTTCAAAAATCACTACCCAAACGTGCCAACAGATTTCACGCGAAAGGGTAATATGATTTTACCCGTCTACTTATGTACACGCGAGTATGCGCGTGTTCGCAAGCCGTAAAGGGTCGACGTGATGCGTCCGATGAACGGCAAATACGTCGACTGTGCTGCTACAGCCGTTACGCGTGTAACGAGGTCGTGCAGAGAAAAAAGAGCGAAAAAATATTATGCACAATTCATAACACAGGTAAAACCTGTAAGAATTCATGCACTTTTATTTGGTTATGTTATATACCATCGTAGATGTTAGGCCCACGGCGCGGACAAGGAGGGGAAAAATCGATGGTTATAAATTGGATATATTTGATTCTGTTATTTGCCGTTTTTATTTAATTTTTCGTCGGTTTCAGATCTCTATTAGAACACATGAAATATTTTATGTTTTTAAATTTATCGGTTGATCGGTATTTTTATGGTCCATAATAATATAATGTAATAACACGTACGTATTGATTTTTAATTTTCATGGCCTACGAGAATTTTCCGGATTCTTTCTGCGACTCTTAGAAAACATTAATCGATGAATACCTATACACGTGCACATACGTTGTGTACGGCGAAACGCGTTCGTCACGATGTTTACGCGTGCGTTTGATTAATATTTTTCCCATTGAAAAGTTCGGTCTTCACATTAAAGTACACGTATTTACGCATTAATATGTAAAATAAACGCACGCTTTTGTGTGTATGCGTATGTAGATACGCGCGATAGAATAATGGTAATCGGCGGAAATGACAACAATAAACGTGCGAGGCAAAGCTGGGCACCGACCTGTTGATTCGCCCGCACCGGTGTACTACAGACGGTGTTCCTATACGTGTGTCTGTGTTTTATTTTATTTCGTGCTAATCAAGAGCGTTCATATTGCGTATATACTGTACATCTACGAGGACAATGATTTTGACAAAACATATAATTATGCGCTCATGTACGCACAGAAACGAAATAGTAGTACTGAACGATAAACAAATAAAAATAAAACACGTGAGTTTTGAACTAAAAAAATAAAATAAACCATACTCGCCGTTCATACGTTCCCTGTATTATGTATATTGAATTTATGTAAATAAAAATACCGCAGTGTAGTACTAAGACCGAATACGATTTTGGTTACAATACAAATAGTGAATTCATGTGTTATAACTTGTAATGTATGTGTGTATTTGAATTGACGCTTCGTAAAATTATGCTTTTTAACGAGAATTATTTTCATAATATAGTAGATAAATGCGCGTGTGTATAGTAATAATGATCCGTTTTGAATATTTCGAAGTTCCCAACAGTTGATATTGGATTAATTAAATCATATTTTTATCAAAACTGTATCCTATACGATGTACATGCTTAAGAATCATGGGAAAATATTAATTCAGTTTTAGGAGTCTTTTTTTCCATATTTTTTTTATTTTTTTTTTTTACAGTAAAGAAATAACTCAGTGTCGCGACATACAATGAATGACCGTGGGATTTTTTGAAAACGAGAGGAAAGGAAACGTGTGTTTACGGCAAACTACAACAGTAATCGACGAACATTTTGATAAACACGTGCACGCAAAGCTCATTGCCGTGATCGTCAAGGATTCGTTTTTTACCCATAAAATATTTACTGTCCGATTTTTTTTTTTAAGAATAATCTGAATATGAAAGTACTTAAAAAAAAATTCGATACTCTTATAAAAAGCATTTCAAACGCGCGTGAGAATTCATTTTTTTTTCAAACGCTACGAAAAATTAAAAATGTTTATCGAAACGGCTTTTTTTGGTGTCTGATAGTTGCAAACAATCAAAATTTTATAACTTTGCGCGCTCTAAATCATACAGTATATTTCTCCAATTAAAAAAAAAAAAAAAAAATCCGCATCCTTCGGGTACTTGCGTTGAAGTCTCTCGTTTCGGACGCGCGTTCTTGAATGCAATAATGGATTTTTCGAATGCGTCATATACGATGGAGCGCGCGCGTGTAACGCAGACACATCGAAGCGCTATAAGTGTACTTACCGAAAGCCGTGCCTTGACGCGTTGCTCCCCGTCACTGATCTGGCTGTGGAAGTTTTCGACGGACACGCGGAGAACGCGCACTCGCGCGACAATGGGACGATACGGACGGCTCGCGCGATATCGTTTCGACGGTTCGAATTTTATAAATGATACGAAAATAAAAAATGAATTCACGATCGTGTACGGACGTAACGGTGACGCGGTAGAAAATGTATTTTCGTTGTTGTAAAACTGTTCGACGGTCACTATATACGTGAAAACCCGGTCAAATGTTCGAAAAGGGATCCGTGATCCGTACGGGCGAGAAGAATACGAAGAAGAAGAACGGTAAAAAAAAAAAAAAAAAAAGTACGAATTAAGCGAAGCACAAACACCGCATGGACACACACACATGCACACGCGCAGTATTCACCGGGGCGCGCAAGAGTTCTCTATATGGTCTACCGGTGGTGCGTCACGACCGTCGTCCGCCGTGCTCGCTGGTTAGGCACTACTAGTATGCGCGCGAACGTACCGGCCTGCACTATGGTCCACTGGCAAACCAAACGCTCGGAACACCGTGCCCCCGCCGCCGCGTCACCGGCCTCACGCCATTGGCCCGTCACCGTCGCCGCCTGCAACAGGTGCCGCGCGCGCACACACGCACGCCGGCCGCCGGCAGGTACACGCGCGGCTTAATCGTGCCCACCCGCCCCTCCTTTCACGCTCGCAGAGCAAAAGGAAAATTCGAGGG